GGCCGTGAGGCTTTGGGCGCAACTTGCGTTTAAAGACTCGATGGTTTACGGGATTCTGCAATTCACACCAAGTATTGCATTTCGCTACGTTCTTCATCGACGCGACAACCGAGATATCGATGAATGTTAGGTACACATTTATGTACATTACTTATGTAATTGTAGCATTTTTTATGGAAAATGGATTGTTGTAACTGGACAAAGAGGAGGTGATTGAGTATTATCAGCTCACCACTCGCTGAGGATGTGGTCTTGATTTTGGCTGAGAAAGCCTCATCCACCCACTAATCTTAACCCCATCTACCTTTTTTTTTTCCTATTTTCACCAAATTTTGAAATAATAATAATCACACTGTATATTTGCCTTATAATTATATCCTCACATAGACTGTTTCTCATCAGAAATGCTCAATTTGGCTTCCGCATAACCGTTTTCAAGAACAGACAAAGAATCTTACAGTCTCGCAGGTACTGTGTTTTTGTTCCTTATTCTCCTCGAATCTGGCTGCCCTCCATTTCTCACATCCGATAAAGATTTGTATTTTTCTTGCCCATTCCTGTTGATTTGCGCTTCATTTTGAGATCTTTATTGTTCACGAGGATTTCAAATGTAAGCAATCTAGGGATCTGAGTCTGCAAAAATATCGTACGAACTTGTTTCGAGCTGTCGTGTAATAAATATTCTGCAGTTAATCTTGTATTTTTATGAAATAGAACAAAAAAAAGATCGGATTTTGATTGTGGTTTTGTATCATCCATGTTTTGTGGATACGAATTCTGTTTTATGAAGCAGGACACTGTCACTGTATACAAATCAATTTGGTTTTTACACATTACAACCCTTATGCTGCATTTCTATTTGACTCTTACCTTTCTCTCAACCATAGACAACTAAAAACAAAGGGGAAACAAAAAGAATATGAGGGGAGGAGGTTTATGGCAACTTGGCCAGTCGATCACCCGCCGTTTGTCCCGGGCCGACAAGAAGTCCGCCGCAGCCCGCCGGTGTTTCTCATCCGAGGCTGATTTGAAAAAGACTGTCCTTTACGACTTTCACGTGGCCAATGGTGGGAAAATGGTCCCGTTTGCTGGGTGGGGCATGCCGATTCAGTACAAGGACTCGATCATGGACTCAACTTTGAACTGCAGGCAAAACGGGAGCCTGTTTGATGTGTCCCACATGTGTGGCCTCAGCCTCAAGGGGAAGGATTGCATCCCGTTCCTCGAGAAGCTTGTGGTTGCTGACGTGGCGGGTCTGGCTCCCGGGACTGGATCTCTGACCGTGTTCACGAACGAGAAAGGTGGAGCCATAGATGACTCGGTGATTACGAAAGTGACGAATGATCATATATACCTTGTCGTGAATGCCGGGTGTAGGGATAAGGATCTTGCCCATATTGAGGAGCATATGAAGGCATTCACATCGAAAGGCGGGGATGTTTCATGGCATATTCATGACGAGAGGTCCCTTTTGGCTCTGCAGGTGAGTGTTTGTTTTTAATTTGTGTTTTTCAGTCTGTATGGTGAAAAACTAGACGATTTTCACTGGGAGTTGAAGTATGAAAAGTGGTTATCTTGTTATGTTTTAGTGGTTATACCTGCAAAGTAAATCAAGGTAGGTATATTCTAAATGAACAGATATTATTGAGCTTCTTGTGCTTTCCCATCTGAGATGTTTGTGGAAGAACATAGTGGGAATATAATTTGAAGCTGTTCTACATCTGGGGAAACTCTGAATCCTGTTTATGATCCCAAGTAGCTTTATGCCTTTTGATTTGTTTCTTCTTGAATGGTTGAATTATTTTGGAATACAATGGTAAATAATTGTGATTTTATTTTATCTATGCTTTAGCATTATAATTTTGCTGAATTTCCCCAATTACCACCACTGTCCCTTCGCCTTTCCGGGTCTGGATTTGTCTCCCTGTTTTAGTTCTCGATGTTTTTTTGGGAAAGTGTAGAGTAATACTCCTACCGAGGCAAGAGCCAAAGGTGTCTCGTATATGGATGCATCGAACCAAAATGAGACCTCAGATTGAGATCTTGATATATTGATTTTCTTTTTTTGTTTTAGTTACACTGCAAAGAAAATGAAAACAAATTCGTTATTTTAAACTCTGGAATATCTTCAAGGTGCCACATATGCTCTTTTTCAGTGACGTTTTGCTTTCTTCACCTTTTTCTTCTACAAGTATGTACTAACGGAAGGCAAAATATCCAAGTTTGCTACCTTTATTTATCCACCATGTTTAAATTTGTGATTGAGTTTTTATAAAAAGAGTAACAATATTCTTGTTTGACGGCCTGTGCTAGAGAACTTTCTTGTTTTTTCTAAAGATATATCTTGATGCAGGGTCCCCTTGCTGCCCCAGTTCTTCAGCACCTGATGAAAGAGGACCTGAGCAAGATATACTTTAGCGACTTCCGGGTTTTGGACATCAATGGTGTTTCCTGCTTCCTGACAAGAACTGGGTATGTTTTGTTTTCATGATATTTCCTACATAGATCTCGACCGTGTGCGAAATTCCCCTGTGTCACTACTCACTAGTCATCTAATCACTGAGAAGCAAATAATATCCAACAGATTCTTGATTTCATGGTTAGCATTGAATTTGATTAATCACTTATTTGTTAGATGGATCAGTAAATTGAAAATCCAAAGCAGCAAGGTATTTCTGTTATTAAAACTGAAAAATCAAAGATTATTTTCGGTAAATCGGTTAAACCTCGAGAATGCTTGCTTTCAGGTACACGGGTGAGGACGGTTTCGAAATCTCGGTCCCTTCGGAGAATGCAGTTGACCTCGCCAAGGCCATTCTTGAAAAATCCGAAGGCAAGGTGAGGCTAACGGGCCTGGGGGCCCGTGACAGCCTCCGCCTCGAAGCTGGCCTCTGCCTGTACGGTAACGACATGGAGCAGCACACAACTCCAGTCGAGGCTGGGCTCACGTGGGCCATAGGGAAGCGGAGACGGGCTGAGGGCGGCTTCCTGGGTGCTGATGTCATACTCAAGCAGATTGCTGAGGGCCCGCCCATAAGGCGAGTTGGGCTTTTCTCAGCAGGCCCGCCAGCCAGGAGTCACAGTGAGATCCAGGATGAAGGAGGGCAGAACATAGGAGAGGTCACAAGTGGGGGCTTTAGTCCCTGCCTGAAGAAGAACATAGCCATGGGGTACGTTAAGTCTGGGCTCCACAAGCCCGGAACCAAGGTGAAAATTGTGGTTCGAGGAAAGTCGTACGATGGGAATGTTACGAAAATGCCATTTGTCCCCACCAAGTATTACAAGCCGTAGTCTTAACTGTTTGATTCGGTTTTTCTTTTGACTTATTTTTTTTTTATTCTGCTTGTCGAATAATTGTTTTACCTGCGTGGAGTATTTCTTGGTGAAACTTGAAGTTGGCTCAGACCTACTTTGGTGAATCTTATATTTGGAAATTTGTTGAGTTTTAGACGAGGTCTACACGTCTGCATGTGAGAAAAATGGCTCTATAAAAATCTGACAGTGGCTCGTCTCTGGAGTCTTGGGATAACTCAGTTCTATCTTGAGTTTGTTTCGTGTTTGAAGAAAAATGGTTAGGGTTGTTAACAGTTGGATCTATGCAGCCTTGTGACCTTTGTATATGTATTTGTTTGTTCATTAATTTGTCTTGAAAATGAAGACGCTAATTTGTTTGTTCATTAATTTCTATTATTTATGTCCTTAATAATAAGCATTAATAAGCAATATGAACATAATGAATTTTTTTGTAGGCTATGTTTGGTAAAACTAGCTGATAAGCTAGCTGATAGCTGATAAGCTAGCTTATAGCTTATATGTAATTTTCGAGCTTATAGCTTATAGCTTATGACTTATAGCTGAAAAGCTAGCTTATATGATAAAAGTGTTTGGTAAAATTAGCTGATAAGCTAGCTGAAATAAAAAATTCAACTAGCTTATTTGAAAAGCTACCTAAACAAGCTTATCAAATAAGCTCGAGCTTTTTAAATAAGCTCGTCCTACCAAACGGGGCTTATTTGAATACAGGAAGCTTATAAGCTAACCAAATAAGCTATAAGCTAGCTTATTTGGTTTACCAAACAAAGCCGTAGAAGCTCGTCGAACACAATTTCAGTAAATATTTGAAAAAGTAAATAAGTTTTTCAAAATTCTAACCCAATCCACTTGTTCTATAAAAAAAAAATTTGTAATATTTATAATTGTATGAAATTATTTTGATCGAATTTGGAAACTTCGTCAGCCATCAACCTGCGGTACCTTACCTACCACGGTCTGCAGAGTCTACCATAATATTTTGTAAAAGTCAACGAAAATATCTTAGATGCATAAAATAACACTTCACTACTCTAATAAGATATCCTAAATGCACAAAAAAANNAAAAAAAAAAAAAAAAGAAATGCTAAGGTTCGTTACGGAACTATTCTATCGGATTTATAACCATTAGATCATCATGTAACCGTCAGAGATAGTTGATTTAATGGTTACAAACTTCTATAAAATGGTTCAGTAACGGGACAATAGCATGATTACAAATGGTTCAATAACGGGACCGTCCCAAAAAATAATACTACTATATTTCAACAAACACATTAGAAACACTGAAACAGCGCCATTTTTGCCACTAATTTTTCCTCTCTCCGTCGTTAGCACACCAAAATCGTGAGCAAGAACTGAAGCGTCGACGAACAGTAGAGATGGGTTCGATTGGTAAGAAGGGCTTGCAAAAGTACTTACTACAGCTCCAACAACATCCTCTCAGAACAAAGGTCTCATCTTTCGTTCTTTCTTTCTTTTTCTAAATGTATATATTTCAGTTCTTGGTTAAATCGGTCCATTTTTTTCTCGTGAGTCGGGTCGGGGTGATTTGATTCGGGCAAAATCTTGAATTTTTCACTGATGGGCATTTTGTCCAGGTGATTACAGCAGGGGTTTTGTCGGCGACTAGCGATATAGTGGCACAGAAGCTTTCCGGCATTCAGAGGCTCCAGCTCAAGCGCCTTCTTCTCAAAGTGGTATTGTTCTTCTTAGGTTGTGTGATTACAACTGAGTCATGTAAATTGTGGTGGGCTTTCCTTAATTTTTCTCAACTGAACAAAAATCTTAACTTTTTCATATTTGAGTATCTTACACCTAGTCAGGCTGGTAACCTGCGACTGATAAACTCCGGTGATTGAATTGATTTCAAGGTTTCGTGGCAGAAATTAACAATTTTTATTTCTTACATTGGCTCCCGGTTCATTAAATAATGGTAATAATGTTATTCTGGACTATACATCATCTGATTCGTGCTCCTCGATGGTTTGATATGATAAAAATATTCATAAAGCTATGATATAGACTGTTAGTTATTTGGTTGGTGGTCTTATGCACTTGGTTCTTATTATTTACAACAATTTAAAGAATGATTTGTATATAAAAGAGTAAAAAGACATGGTTAAGGAAATTCAATCTTGTATTTGTTTCATGTTTTCCACTCCATATCTGAATGCATTCGTTGCCGTGTTTTTACTTTCTCCCCGAGTGAGTGGAAGCACCTAATTTAAGTCTTTTGAAGAAGTAAAAGGGATTGGTAATCTTTCTAATCAATTTTTGGCGTCTGGATATGATGAAGGTGAATACAAAGATATGAACTTGTAAGTAGCTTTTTAACCCGTTTAATCCTGGAAGGAATCCAGGTTCTATTAAACTGACTAAACATTCTTTGTTTAAATTGAAAAACATTATGAGGATGCTTAGTTAGTAAAGGGCCGGTATTCCACGACTAGGCCAGCAATATTCTTAGACATAAATTTCATTTTTTTTTTCTTTTTTGGTTTCCTTATTGATGTTATCGTCTATACTCCCTTCTTGAAAAGTCTTGTTTTTTGAGATTTCGTTCTTCTTGTTCATGCTAATTAATTTTAACTTTGTGCCTGCTTTTACATTTGCTGAAATCTCCATAGACCTAGAGTAATGTTTTAGAAAGTTTTTTTTGCATCCATCCTCTTTTTTTTTTTTTTTCTTTTTTTTCCGGTCTTTCTGTGCCACCAAGGTGATACTTCTGGTTTGACTTCGAATGCCCAAATGCAGATTTTTGGGGCTGCTTATCTTGGTCCATTCGGGCATTTTTTTTACATTATGCTCGACAAAATTTTCAAAGGAAAGAAAGATACGAAGACTGTGGCAAAGAAGGTATGCCTCATTTTTTTAGTTTATCAAAGTGAATTTTTGAACTATGTTTAAGAACATTGAATGCAAATGACATAATTTTCAGGTGGTGCTCGAGCAACTGACATCTTCACCTTGGAACAACTTGCTTTTCATTTTATATTATGGGTTTGTTATCGAAGGTTAGTTCTAAGTGCAGAGCAATGAATGAAAAATATTAATGTGCTTATGTAAGGAAATTTTATAGGGACTCATGTAATATCCCGATATTTTATCGGTATAAATTACGTTTAATTCCGATATAATAATGTTATCGTTTATTATTTTCGGAATTAATTATTTTCAGTCGAGATTACCGACATCTATTTTCGACGTACCGTTTACGTTCGAAATAATTTTGGTAATTAAGTATTATGGTTAATTTAATGTCTAAACCAAAAAGGTGATTAATTAGCCTTAAATCCTTAAATTAAACCCTAATAGCCGTGAGCTTAGGCAATTTTCCCAAATTTTCTTCACTAATGCCGTAAGCCTTCCTTAGCATGAGGGAAATAACTTTTCTCCCTTTCAAGTAGTGCCACTTGTCAACTCAAGGAGGTGCTTAGTCACTCAATAGTTAATAAGAATCAAGCAAATGTCAAGGCCATAAATGGCCACGTTTAATGAGCATCATCACACCCCCATCGGCCTTAGTATAAATGGGGAGTGTTTGATGAAATTTCCCACTCTTTTTCCCCTTAGAACCTATCACATCTTCAGCATATCTACTAGCCTCTTTCAGCAACCAAAGTGATAGAAAATTTCCCTCAAATCCTTATAAAATCGCACGGCAAACCGAAGTATACACACGGCACACGCAAGGCAAGGAAGCACGTTCCATTTTTCCATTTCCGTCGAACGTTTCGAGAGGTAACCCTTTTTTCAGTTTATATTCAGATTGATAAGGTCATGTTAAGTTGTAGTGTTCAATCTATTTGCGAGAATTTTAAGCAAAATTGTGTTTAAGGCCGAACATGTTTAAGTAAGATCACGACCGAACAACTTTCGATTTTTCCCGGCAACTCTCGAACTGTTGATGTTTAAATATTCAGTTTAGTTCATTTCATGTTCAGTAAGTTCAGATTTGTCGAGGCAAAGTGAAGTTTTGTTGATAAAATGGCCGAGCCGTCGCCAGCGCCTATCGCGCGGCCTCGGGTGGCCTCGGGCCGTGCCTTAGTGTCTTCAGTAAGGATCATGTTCAGCCGTGTGTTTGTATCCTAAATTGCTTCATATTGATGTACATGTTGAGTTGTTCTGAAGTTGCCGAAGAAATAGGTATTGTGGCCGAGAGACGGCGTATAGCCGTCGGCGGCGCACGGCGCGCCCGCCACGGCCTTTCATGTTCAGCG